TGCGACACACGGCGGATTGTGATTGGTCGAGGTTGAAAGCACCAACCAATCAGCGCTAGTCGAGCTGACATCTCGGGAGCTCTCATTGGCAAATGCGAGCTCTCGGGACTGATTCAGCCATCAGAAGTTGCTGATGACTGCCACTTACGCTCGCCAGTTTGTTACTGGGCGCTCAGTGAAGGCTCCGATAATCAGGGAGACGGCTTAGGAGCTACACTTCGACCACCATGCTTTGTGAATAAATGTGAGTAAACTCCCAGTGGCAGGACTTGTGATTTTGTAGTACCACATTTAACACGGTGGAACGAGAAAAAAGAGGAGGCAGTGTGGTAAACCCTAGATATAATCTGCTCAGTGGTAAACACTTTTTGTTCCCGTCTGACAGCTCACACGAACACCCGAGGAAGCCTAAGCACGAGTAATCACATCGAGCTCCAGAGCACCCTCGATATGTCGCTACTCCCCTTGGAAAGTGAAGGAGTGTTGATAATTCTACTTGATCAGATCTTACAGTATCTCACAGGTATTTTGATGGACGTTGTAGGAGTACGGACTAGCATAAAAACAAAGATAAGCTCTCCGGTGTTTTCAGAGTTTATAAGGGAGGCGACCATTAATTTTATTTACATAGATAAGGTCAGGGTTATTGGTGTTGGTGTAATAATTCAAATTTTTGAGCTAGGCTAATGTTGGAGACGTGTGCTTAGGATTTAATACGACAGCAAACTAAAGGTTCGTTATCAATTTTGTTTATTTTGCCATTAATTGACAGTTGTGACTCACAATTGGGAAGACAATTGACTTGATAATTTATAATATTTACTGGTCAACAAAGAGTCACCCGAGGTAAGACTTAGTATAAGCGAACAAATATTGTGTTTATGTGGCATTATTGTGTTTACATGTGTATTTTATAACCAGGATCCACATAGTGTTGGTATCACTGTTCACTATTGGCCAGAGAGTGACAGTGTTAAATGGTTTTTACTTCGATCTCAGTCAGTGTGCACTAGGCTATGTGCTCGCAGTAATCTTTCCAATAAACTGTACTTTTATCTCGGCACATGAAGTTTTGCATGATAATAACACCAATTATGTTGTCGGTGTGAATCCATTACCGTGAGCGCATTTCCTCCCTGAGGACAAGTTAACATGTGGATGCTAAATGAATCAACACAAATAATACACGAAGCAATGGATAAAAACTGGGCAAGCTTATACTCAGGAAAGATTTTGGTAAATACTGGTTGGGGAATTGGGTTAGGCAGGCACCTGCAGGCTCAAACAGTAAATACAAATGGTAAATATAAATATACACTCAAACACACTGCCCGCGACAACCCGGAGAAGATTGGTTGGGTACCAATCCATAATTGTTCGCTTGTTACCCAGTAACAGTTGAAGACCTGGTTGTCTATCGATTGGCAGGTCACATGATCCAGGCAAAAACTAGTAGGGTAAGGCTTAACATGAATTATTGAAAGGGAAAGTCGTCTACTCTTGCGAGAGAGAGAGAGAGAGAGAGAGAGAGATCAATTAGATACGGAGTTGAGCGATTGAAAGACATACGCGACAAAAAAGTACATATGCTTTCAAGACTATTATATAATAATACATTATGAGATATACCTGGGTATATCTCATAATGCATCTCTCGAACCATATATAGTTAGAAATCCCAGACAGGAAGTATCCCATGTGTAATCTGTCGCGTGGGGGGGGGGGGATATATTATGCTCGTGTCGTGATCATAAAATATTGCTTCCTGCTGAGATCAGGTCTTGTGGTCCCTGTGTTGCCATATTGTTCCAAACATTGACGTCTGAGAGTTGAGAAATTAACAGACTCGAAGGCCTGAGAGCACCAGGATAAAAAGATATGATTTGTTACTGATTGTCCGCTCATTACACCCTACAGACCAGCCGGTATGAGGTAACTTCAGCTGAGTCTGTATGCACTGTATGCAAGGGAGCCGGTCGGTCGAGCGGACAGCACGCTGGACTTGTGATCCTGTGGTCCTGGGTTCGATCCCAGGCGCCGGCGAGAAACATTGGGCAGTTTCTTTCACCCTATGCCCCTGTTACCTAGCAGTAAAATAGGCACCTAGGTGTTAGTCAGCTGTCACGGGCTGCTTCCTGGGGGTGGAGGCCTGGTCGAGGACCGGGCCGCGGGGACACTAAAAAGCCCCGAAATCATCTCAAAATAACCTCAAGATAACCCCAGAACACACACACACACACACACTCACGCAGTTCCTGTGGTGTAGTGGTTAAGACGCTCGTCTGGCATTTCGCGAACGCTTTGTCCTGGGTTCGTATCCTGGCCTGGGAGGATTGACTGGGCGCAAGTCCTTAACTGTAGCCTCTGTTTAACTCAACAGTAAAATGAATACTTGGTTGTTAAACGATATTTCGCGGGGGTCGTATTCGAGGGACCATAGGATTAAGGACTTGCCCGAAACGCTACGCGTACTAATGGCTGTACAAGAATGTAAGAACTCTTGTATATATAAATAATTTAATAATAATTTAAAATATCAACACAAATTATATATAGCGCTGGTGTTTTTATGTCTTGAGGTTAATCAAATAGTGTCAGACATTTGATTCATTGTTTTCATATTTTTACGACTCTTTTTCCTAGCCATCGACTTAGATTGGTAGTGATAATCATGCCTTTTGCAGGGTCGGCGTTCGATCCCCCAAGTGGTTAGGTACCGTTTTTTGCACTCATTCCTCATGTCCCTTCCACGTGTTATATACAGTCACACTGGCTTAGCACTTTCTTCTCATAAGTACCTTACCTTCAGGGGTAGCCCACCGAGATTTTGTTTTAATAAAGGTCAGTATTTAATCAAACACATAGTATTAGTTGGGGAGCCGGTCGGCCGAGCGGACAGCACACTGGACTTGTGATCCTGTGGTCCTGGGTTCGATCCCAGGCGCCGGCGAGAAACAATGGGCAAAAGTTTCTTTCACCCTATGCCCCTGTTACCTAGCAGTAAAAAAATAGGTACCTGGGTGTTAGTCAGCGGTCACAGGCTGCTTCCTAGGGGTGGAGGCCTGGTCGAGGACCGGGCCGCGGGGACACTAAAAAGTCCCGAAATCATCTCAAGATAACCTCAAGATAGTATAAGCACTTTATAAAGTTGGATTATGCATGTGTTACATCATCTCCAGTTACGTATATTTAAGCTTGGCATTTCTTTTCATACACAAATAGAAGCTAGAGTTCTCTTTCACTCTATGGTTGGAGGAGTGGAAAGTGTGAAGCATGTGTTAACTACGGGAAGGTCACCATTGTGAAGCCCACTTCTCGCCTGCTGAGCAAGACACAATTCCTAATTACGTAACCCATCAGGCATGTTGCTCCATCACGAGGGTCAATTTCCTGTTGAAAGTTCACTAATATACTGGATACCGCCGGGTCTCAACATTAAAGTAATTCCCGGGAAGGTAATATTTTCCATATCATATGTTTCAATCTGGCTAATCCATACCAAAGACTGATTTTTTCAAATGGAGAGGAAACCGGGCATGAATAAAGAAAACGGGCGAGTGAGAAGTAGGAAAACAGGTGCAGGCAGCAAGGGCGGGGAATACACTTAATTAGGAAGAAATAGTGAAAGCCACATATATATATATTTACAGCTTCCTGAACACATACAAGTAATCAATTTCTGTGACGCGCCTCTTGTCTCAGCAAGGTAAGGTTGGTATATGTTAAGGTCTTCCTCAGTATATCCTAACATTACATGAGCAGCGTCACTAAACATTAGCCTAGTGATGCGGTGACGAAAAATGGCAGTCAAGTCAAAAGGTAATAACAAAATCGAGGGTTTTGATTTTGTTGAGCATATGGACCGTATGAGAGGATGCCATCGAGGTGTTGAATATGTGTGAAGCTATTATGGAGGATTTTCATTTTAACAATCGACTTGAGAATGGTCCAGGACGGACCGAAACGTCGTCGTCCCTTCACCTTCTAGCGTTTGGTCTGGTCAACATTCTTCAGCCACGTTATTGTGACTCATCGCTAGCATTTTCATTTTATTTTTTAACAAAATTAATTACATCCGTATTAATGATGATTCCCTAAAGTTACCTCTAGACCATAGTATTAATCGTTACAGTCTTTGTACAGAGCTATGCTGCCTGATGCTAAGATTCACATCACGCAGGGAACATGTTGGCCAACACTGGCAAACTTTGCATGGATTGCGCGGATAACCTCAAGAACACGAGAGTGGATGAACTTATTGCAAAGCTCCATGTATCTCATAGCAGCGCGTCTTAAGGATCTAGTGAAGGCGACGTGACTCCACACCCGGGAAGCGACGTGACTCCACACCCGGGAAGCGACGTGACTCCACACCCGGGAAGCGACGTGACTCCACACCCGGGAAGCGATGTGACTCCACACCCGGGAAGCGACGTGACTCCGCACCCGGGAAGCGACGTGACTCCACACCCGGGAAGCGACGTGACTCCACACCCGGGAAGCAACTTGACTCCACACCCGGGAAGCGACGTGACTCCACACCCGGGAAGCAACTTGACTCCACACCCGGGAAGCAACGTGACTCCACACCCGGGAAGCGACGTGACTCCACACCCGGGAAGCGATGTGACTCCACACCCGGGAAGCGATGTGACTCCACACCCGGGAAGCGACATGACTCCACACCCGGGAAGCGATGACTCCACACCCGGGAAGCGACGTGACTCCACACCCGGGAAGCGATGTGACTCCACACCCGGGAAGCGATGACTCCACACCCGGGAAGCGATGTGACTCCACACCCGGGAAGCGATGTGACTCCACACCCGGGAAGCGACGTGACTCCACACCCGGGAAGCGATGACTCCACACCCGGGAAGCGACGTGACTCCACACCCGGGAAGCGATGTGACTCCACACCCGGGAAGCGATGTGACTCCACACCCGGGAAGCGATGACTCCACACCCGGGAAGCGATGTGACTCCACACCCGGGAAGCGATGACTCCACACCCGGGAAGCGACGTGACTCCACACCCGGGAAGCGACGCGACTCCACATCCGGGAAGCGACGTGACTCCACACCCGGGAAGCAACGTGACTCCACACCCGGGAAGCAACGTGACTCCACACCCGGGAAGCGACGCGACTCCACATCCGGGAAGCAACGTGACTCCACACCCGGGAAGCAACGTGACTCCACACCCGGGAAGCAACGTGACTCCACACCCGGGAAGCGACGCGACTCCACATCCGGGAAGCAACGTGACTCCACACCCGGGAAGCAACGTGACTCCACACCCGGGAAGCAACGTGACTCCACACCCGGGAAGCAACGTGACTCCACATCCGGGAAGCAACGTGACTCCACACCCGGGAAGCAACGTGACTCCACACCCGGGAAGCAACGTGACTCCACACCCGGGAAGCAACGTGACTCCACACCCGGGAAGCAACGTGACTCCACACCCGGGAAGCAACGTGACTCCACACCCGGGAAGCAACGTGACTCCACACCCGGGAAGCAACGTGACTCCACACCCGGGAAGCAACGTGACTCCACACCCGGGAAGCGACGCGACTCCACATCCGGGAAGCAACGTGACTCCACACCCGGGAAGCAACGTGACTCCACACCCGGGAAGCAACGTGACTCCACACCCGGGAAGCAACGTGACTCCACACCCGGGAAGCAACGTGACTCCACACCCGGGAAGCGACGTGACTCCACACCCGGGAAGCAACGTGACTCCACACCCGGGAAGCAACGTGACTCCACACCCGGGAAGCGACGCGACTCCACATCCGGGAAGCAACGTGACTCCACACCCGGGAAGCAACGTGACTCCACACCCGGGAAGCAACGTGACTCCACACCCGGGAAGCGACGCGACTCCACATCCGGGAAGCAACGTGACTCCACACCCGGGAAGCGACGCGACTCCACATCCGGGAAGCAACGTGACTCCACACCCGGGAAGCAACGTGACTCCACACCCGGGAAGCAACGTGACTCCACACCCGGGAAGCAACGTGACTCCACATCCGGGAAGCAACGTGACTCCACACCCGGGAAGCAACGTGACTCCACACCCGGGAAGCAACGTGACTCCACACCCGGGAAGCAACGTGACTCCACACCCGGGAAGCGACGTGACTCCACACCCGGGAAGCAACGTGACTCCACACCCGGGAAGCAACGTGACTCCACACCCGGGAAGCAACGTGACTCCACACCCGGGAAGCAACGTGACTCCACACCCGGGAAGCGACGCGACTCCACATCCGGGAAGCAACGTGACTCCACACCCGGGAAGCAACGTGACTCCACACCCGGGAAGCAACGTGACTCCACATCCGGGAAGCAACGTGACTCCACACCCGGGAAGCAACGTGACTCCACACCCGGGAAGCAACGTGACTCCACACCCGGGAAGCAACGTGACTCCACATCCGGGAAGCAACGTGACTCCACACCCGGGAAGCAACGTGACTCCACACCCGGGAAGCAACGTGACTCCACACCCGGGAAGCAACCTGACTCACTCTCACTACTTGTTATTCATCGCTCATCACATGATGAAACATACTAGAGAAGAGCAGGACTAGAGAGGATACGAGCACTACGTGCCAAACAGCCTTTTCGAATGAAGAGAAACCCGCTGATTCACGCACTCTGTATTGTTTGCTACTCACTCCTCACTTGTTCCTCACTCTTCACCTGTTACTCCTCACTAGTTCCTCACTCCTGACCCATCATTGGACGGCATGAAGCTCATGATGTGTCACTCCTGACCTTGTTACACTTTTCTTGCCCTGTCACCTATCCCTCCCCACCCCCACACCCACATCCTGCCCCCACGTTCTACCCACCCCACCCCACCCTTGAACCATCACCCACCCATCTACACTCTCACCCTCACACTACTCACCCCCCACTAACATCACCCCCCCCGCTCTCACAAAAAACCCTCTCACATTCATTCCCTCCTTCGCTATGTGGATATGATACAATATACAATATATATCTAAAGAATGACCCGTATGTATTTGCAAGACTTTATCAAACCATTTGACAGCAGCGAGTCCAGTGTGGTACCGGCCTCGGTCACCTGTGGGCGAGTCTTAATACTCGCCCACAGTATTTATACTTACTACATCGGTCTTAATACTTACCTGTTAGTGACTTACAGGAAGTATGATCTGGTGCTTTACGACCCGCCTACAAACCTAACTATACCTGTTACGTTATACGTTCAAGTATTCTGATGTTCGAATTGTTTATCGAATCTGGCTTTAAAGATTCGTTTTTAGATGTTTTTTGTAGGTGAAGATTTTTGTTTTAGATGGCGGTGGCTTCCACAACTTCTTCTAGTGTGTTCCACTTGTTGACAAGTACTGGTACAGAGAACAATTATTTATTTACATTAATTCCACTCATTTGCGTTTACAGCTTCCACTTACGTCCTCTCTTTAGAGACTGTCCTCGTGGTGACCTACTGATCAGGTTTTAAGTGTTGCTACCAAACACTGCAAGTGTCTAAGACTGGCAAATCGAAATTTGAATCAGAAAGAAATCAAGAAAATTTGTCCAAGCGCGTGGGAAGAGTCAATGGTCGTTCTTAATGATATCTTGGCCTCGTAGCCTGATGGTTCAGCGAATTATCGCGCAGCATCGAACTTAACCACTGAGCGATAGAGATAAATTAATTAGGTTTCAGATATGTTAAGCCAAGTGTCTGAAGACAGGATATCAAACGTACAAATTGAAGAAAGATACTCAGATAATCACTTGGAGTCAATAGGCTCCAAGTCGACAAGGGATGAATGACTCAAAACCAGAATTCAATGCGATAATTCCTGCCTGTCGTGTACTTCATGACTACGTTGTTAACTCAAGACAGACCTGGAACAGTCATTAATATTCCCACTAAGCTCCTAGACTTGGCCTAATGAAAACACTGATCGATTGATTGGTCTAATTTATTCAAAACCATTTGCACGCTTTTGGGTCTTTTTTTTATAGTACCTTATGTTCCTTGTCTTGGTTTACAGATTGCATTATCATACATTATACGGGAGATTAATGTGTGTTAAACATATTCTTAACGCAAGAAGACATCGAACAACAACACACATAAACATATATAAACACAATTTGTGTGAACAAATCCACAAGGGCCGTGACGAGGATCCTCGTCACGGCCCTTGTGGATTTGTTCATTTGATGCATCACGTTAGTGTGATCTCTGTGTGTAACAATTTGTGTGTTTATATGAAGCAAGTGAGTCAGAGGTCATCGTGTAAGTCAAAACTACCTTTTGCCTTAAAGTCATGAGAGACCTTACATCTCCTGGATTGCTCAGAGACAAATTATTTAGTGCAGCACCCTGTTGACTGGTGCCGACATACTAACACACTCCTTTTATGATAAATGGCTGAGCAACAATGCCTACAATCTCATTAAACTTAACATTCCTTTTAAGTGCAATCTACCTGTCTCTGATATTCCTCTTTATCTGTACCCCACCATTCAAGTATCATACACACCTGTCACCAAGAAAGATAATGAGAATCTTGCTCTTCTCAAAGCTGTCACACTCGAAACAATTGTCTCCTCCATCGAGAATTTAAGATCTCACGAGCACTGTGTCTACACCGACGGCTCAGTCCAATCTTCTACTGGACGGACTGCAGCAGCATGTAGGTTTTATAGAAATAATATTTGCACAAAGACTGTCAGTGTCAGGTTAAACAACTGGCTGACCTCCACACAAGCAGAACTAGCAGCATTACAACTAGCTACCAGTACGTTAAAAAAACATTGGAGGAGGAATAATATTTTGTGATTCAAAGTTTGCTCTTCAAGCAATCGAAAACTTCTCCTGGAAGATCGACAGCAAGAACCTCATACTACTAATTATAATTGATCTAATTGCTGCACAGAGTAAAGGGTCTCGAATCTCTTTTATATGGATACCTTCACACATAAATATAACCCATCATAATGAGACAGACATTGCAGCCAAATTAGCGTGCAACAAAGATGAAGTTGAATTAGATCTAGGTATCCCCATCTCTGCTGTCAAAACTGTATTGGTCCAAACATTCAGATCTGATAGGAAAGAACTTACTGACTCCCAACGACCTGAAAGTACTAGTATTAAAAGCTATGATTTGTTCAGATCTGAAACCTATATCTATGGGCAATACAAAACATCCACCAGACTGTGCGACACAGTGGTTGCCAGGATCAGGTTGGGTTACCGTTACCTGTGGCAGGTGGCTAAAGGTGACTGATCTCCCAAACCTGAGTACTCCAGGTGCGCAGGATTGAAGTCATGCCGCAGTTCCTGCTCTGTGAGCAGGAACTGCGGCATGATCTCCCACACTACATCACCGAATGCCCAGTTATTAGACCTTTCAGACCAGTTGGCATGAGGTACCTGGAGCTTTGCAATTACTTTATTCACTCTCGTATTCATGAGGATATCCTCATATTGCACCCAAAATTTGCCAGTGCAGGCTACTAAACATATGGCCTTGTATGACTAACCATCCTGCGAGATGGGGATTTTTATTACTACTGCTACCTTATTCACTCTTGTGTTGATGATATCCTCAAAATGCATCCGGAGTCTGCCAGTGCAGACTGCCTATCACATGCCTCTGTATGACTAACCATCCTGTGTGATGGGGATTTTTTAGCATCACGTAGTTAGCTTTTTTGACACACTGTACTCCATTTCATATAGTCTAGGGTAGCTGCACTAATGCAGATGTACCTCATGTATTAATAATAATAATAAAAAAGGCAGTTCAGTATACGACAGACGTCTAAAGCTAAGGCTCCCTCTACAAACAACCGTAGTTATATATCAAAGTTGACAAAGTTGTCACAAAGTTGACAAAGATAGACTCCTTCAGGTAAGGTGGAAACAGATGAACCAGAGGAATGTAAGGAAGTACTTGAGGGGTAGTGAACACGTGGAGAGGGTCTGGATCATAAATTGCTGGAGGTAAAAACAGTCCACAACTTAATAAGCAGATCAGAAGAAGATTTCAGATCAAAATCAGAAGAAATTTCGAATAGAGTTGTACCAGATGCCTGATTGTAAAGTGATGAGATCAAAGGGTATTCCTTTCCTTCAGAAGGTGGGACTTGGGAGCTGATATTCGACTCTGAACAGTTAGGTGGGCACACACAAAGTCCTTCATAGACGGTCAATGTGCAGCACACCCGTCTCCACCAGTCTCCACCCGTCTAACTGGTCTGTCCGGTCTTGCCAGTCTATCTGTCAGGTATTTCCGGGATGAAATCCTCGCATCAGTTCTCACAAACTTTCATTCATTTTTGTTTTTACTGCAACTGGTTAGCCTCAAGAATACGTGGGAGTTATCTAAGATGTTGGTTCTATCTCAATCAATAGTGGAGTGAGATGCTGCTCCTCTCTCACCAGCCACTAGGACTCTTCGGTACATCAACAACCTCGCCTCTTGCAGGTCAGCGTTCGATTCCCGATGGTGTAAGTAGTTGGGGAATCGTTCCATGGCTCTGTTACCCAATCCCAGCCCCTAACCTTGTCCTCGTATTCCTTCCGTGGGCTGTACAGTCATCCTGGCTTAATGTTTTCTCTTATAATTCTTTTATAATAAAACATTTGATCTGTTCATGATATTGTACTTATCGACTTATATTATCACTCCATGATATACACCTCAATAGACCAGACTGGGTAGGGAAATATGTTAATATTTTACACAAATAATGTTTGGTCGTGTAAATCATGCTGTCCGGATACAAGTTCGCTCATTAGTTAAGCTTTACAGGTCACTAGACATAAGTGCCCCGGTTCGACTCCCGCCTAAGGCAGAAATAAATGGGCAGAATTTATTTCATCTGATGCACCTGTTCACCTAGCATTAATAGGTACCTGGGAGTTAGACAACTGCTACGTGCTGCTTCCCGAGGATGCGTGTGTGTGTGTGTGTGTGTGTGTGTACGTGTTAGAGAGAAATATATGTAGTAAACATAACAAAAAATAAATTGGTTAGAAAGGCGGGGTCCAAGAGCTAATAGCTCAGTTCTGCGGGCACAAAAAATAATAAATACACACCACTAATATTTTCACAATAAATTTTCATGCAATCATTGATTTGAGATTAATATTTATCTATTTACTATGGCAACGAGAACGTCCTTGGGTCGTTAATTAGAAGATCTAGTAAGACTTGGCAACTGTTTTCCTTGGTTTATATAACAGCATGATGGGAACTGTCATCGCCAAAAGTCCTCTGCGGGCTCGCCATAGCCCGTGCTACGTGGAACGTTTGTTCCGAGTAGCTGAATCTATAACAACATATAACCGCTGTCATATCCCACTTTACGCTGTCGGCCAGTTGGTCGGTGGTCCGCTCCTAGACTCCCGTTTGCGCTCTAAGGTATTACTTAGTATGGTGGCCACGTCAAATTTATGCAGCAGGGATATATATATATATATATATATATATATATATATATATATATATATATATATATATATATATATATATATATATATATATATGTCGTACTTAGTAGCCAGAACGCACTTCTCAGCCTACTATGC